TTCTTGTACAGGGTGATCCAGCACGTTGCTTGGTTTGCAGGCACCACGTTGCCACCACGGTGGTAGATTGGGTGGTCGACCCCCGTGTGCTACAGTACATCGATTTTGTGGGTTTTGGCGGATTTCATAGGATGGCCTTCACACCGATCGATCGAGCGCTTATTACTGCGCTCGTTGAGAGATGGAGACAGGAGACTCACTCCTTCCATCTACCAGTTGGGGAGGCCACCGTCACGCTCCGAGATGTGGCGATACTTACACGGCTCCAAGTGCATGGTAGGGCAGTTACAAGACCGATTATACAGGACCCTCGTGGCCTTGTTGAGAGGGTGTTAGGGGTGAGGCCTGAGGTGACCGATGTTAGAGGCACAGGGTTAAGACACATGGTTACGAGAGACATTTGGGGTGTTGCCTCCTGATGCTGATGATGGAGTCGTCCAAAGATACGCTCGAGCGTACCTGTTCATGTTGACAGGATCATTATTCAGTAACAAGAGTGGTAGTCACATACAGTTGATCTACCTACAGCTGTTAGAGAACAACTGGGAGGGTATACGTGACTACAGCTGGGGTAGTGCGTGTCAGGCAACCTTATATCGACATCTTTGCAGAGCATCCCAGCGTAGTAGATGGGAGATCAGCGGTCCCTTGATTGTGCTTCAGGTAGTTTTGTACTTTCATACCATTTTCTACCTATTACGTACTAAACATTGGCTAGACTAAACTTTTGTTTTTTTATTACAGTTATGGGCTTGGGAGCACATCCACGTTGGTAGGCCAGCTATGCCTGCTAGGCGTCGACGCGAGGAGGAGGAGGAAGACGATCAGGAGCATGCATATGAGGCGCCGCCACACCCACCACCGGACTTAGCATACGGTTGCCGGTATGTATGACTTATTGTTAAGTTATCCACATATGGTTTTAATTTTCTATTAATTTTGTCATGAACACTGTTATTATACATGTAATCAGGTGGCTAGGGCGGAGACTTACTCGTGTGCATGCAGCAAGGGGTCTGCCGTATTATAGAGATGCATTCGACAGACTGAGCGAGTCTCAGGTTATAGTTCACTTTAAAAACTAATTTAACACCGTGTTCATTATTTTAATAAGTTAATTATGATGTTAACGACTGCTTGTTAATGCAGATGACGTGGGATCCGTATGTCCCTCACTTAGTCGATGCCATGCCCCAATATCTTCTTGATCACCAGATGGAGTGGCGTGCCATGACAGTGCTCATCTGTTTTGAGTTGGTGGAGGCTCACCTCCCCGACAGAGTCATGCGACAGTTCGGCCTTTGTCAAGCCATCCCCGCCCCGTGTGATACGAGTGTCCAGTTGCACAGGACAGACCGACGAGGAAAGGGGGAGGTTAACTGGGCAGTTCAGCATGCCCCTTACATTGACATGTGGGACCAGCGGCTGCAGCACGTCGCGGATGGTGCGCCTGTCCAAGGCCTGATGGAGTATCACGATCCACACATGGTATGGTACAGGAGCATTACCCGACGCTTCATCAACCCTAACTACACCCCACCCTCAACGCATTACCACCCAGCTTTTGGAGACATCAGTGGATATGTGAGTTTTTTGTCATTTTTTCTTTTCCTCCAATTTATAGTTTCTTTAATTATTAAAATGGCTGATTGTTGACTAATGCAGGCGTCTGATATGCTTGCTATACATGATGCACTAGAAGTCGTGAGCATATCATATCCCACCATACCGCAGTTGGATGACATTCACGCAATGACTGTGAGTAGCTTACAGAGACATGGTCATGGCCATCTTATCCCCCAGGGCCGGGACCAATCACACCGCCGTTCACACCGTGAGGTAGGCAGCAGTAGTAGGGGACAGACTCACACGTCCCCTACAGGGTCCCCCCTGTTTTTTGATGATCAGGAAGATATCGCCATCCACATGTCTGCGCCATACTCATCTCAGGAAGGACCATCTTCCAGCCAACAGACTCCTCCCCAGACCTCTGCCCCAGATCCTTTCACAACGGTATCTCAGTACTACCGTCGTAGAAGACCGCGATTGGATAGACAACACTTACATACAATAGATGAATCGGGATCTTAGAACTTCTTTTGTTAGTTGTAATCAGATTCTATAGTACATTGTATCCAAATAAATATTATCAATTTTACTAACCTTTTTAGTTCATTTTCTGTACATTATCAACTTCACCATACGCATTCATTCTTTTCATTGTATTGGTTGCTGGTGTTGTTGTTGTTGCTGGTGTTGTTAATGTTGCTGATGTTGTTGCAGTTATTGTTGTGGTTCCTGTTGTTAAGGTTGTAGTAGTTGTTGTGATTGTTGTTGATGCTCTTGTTGGGGTTGTCGCTGTTGCTCTTGTTGGGGTTGTCGCTGTTGCTGTTGTTGTAGTTGTTGTGGTTGTTGTTGCTGTTGTTGTTGCAGCTCCTGTGGTTGTTGTTGTTGTTGCAGCTCCTGTGGTTGTTGCTGCTGTTGCTGTGTAGCCGTGTTTGTGTGCAGAGATAAAACGCCAACCATGGTGGCGCTTTAGGGGGGTAAATTATTTTCAAAAAAATCACTCAGGGTAAAACGCCAACGGCGTTAGCGTTTTTGTGTAAATGTGTTTTTTTTAAAAAATTTGCCCAGCAGTAAAACGCCACCCTTGATGGCGTTTTATCCTTGACTAAAAATTAAAAAAAATAAATGCCTAGGGTAAAACGCCATCCTGGTTGGCGTTTTACTCTGGAAGCTTAGTTTGGTAAATAGTTTTGCCACGCGTCTTGTTTGGGAAATTGTTTCCCAAAAACGCTTAGTTTGGCAATTTTTCCTTTTTACATGTCCCGTATTTCTTTTTAAAGCGTCACTTAATTACTAAGGAATTATTGTGAGTTAGTACTAATGTAAATTTTTAAAGCGTTTTTAAGAGTGAGAGGGAAGGATAACGGATCCTCACCTCAAAGTGTCACTAGTCAGGATTGAACCCTCAACCTCAAAGTTGAAAGGTGATAATCTTATCACTCGACCAAGCTTAGATTAGTAAATGGAGTTATTGTCTTGCCACAAATAAATGTAACACCAAATTGAGATGGCCTATGACATGAAATGGCATGCTATTTTGTATAGGAACTTATTTGGATAAGCATGGTAAGGCATGTAACACCTAGACACAACAATATTGACTTAGGTGCGTAAGCATGACATGACACGATACAACTTGTCATTATGGCACATTCACTTTGGCCATGCCTAGACTAAGCTGTTATAAATTTCAGATTGGCACATAGTTCGTGCCTAGACTCAATTGTGGATCTATCGTGCCTAGTTGAGACCTAGGCGTGGACCACGGTCATCTTTAAGCTCAACAAGTGAGTCAGGTTGTGCATGAGCTCCCTATTTTAAATAATGCTGACATGAATTTTACTTAGCCAAATCGAGCCTATATTGTTTTTTGCACAAAACTTGTTAGCTTGATTTATGAATATAAGATATTGGGAACCAAACCATGAATTTGTCAGGAATCTATAAATTCTCAATTTGGTACTTACTCAATTTTTTTTTATTGTTGCAAAATAGCTATTTATTGGTTACTTCAATATGTTATTGTTGCAATTAGGGTTTGTTCTGATTGATCGAACTGAATTGAATATTTTATAGGAGAAGGAAATTAAGAATTGAACTAAACTGAATAGAACTAAACTAAACTTATTGGAACTGAACTAAAAATAAGCTAAAGAGAACAAACCCTTAGTCATTATTTTTAAGATACATACATTTGACGAATGTATAAGTTAATTAAAGTATATTATCCACACTATAAACAATTAGCATGAAACTAGCGACCTAACTTGCAACTAGTTTTGTATTCCCTTAAGGAATATATTTAGGGATTGATAATGGTCATTTTCAGTTTTCACTTTTCGCTTTATTTTTGTTATTATTTATTTTTTTCTAGATTTCTTGCAACTAGTTTTGTATTCCCTTAGGCTTTGTTTGGTTCATTTTTAGTAAAGGAAAAGAAGATAAAGGAAAGGAGGGGGAAAAGAAAGGAAGAGAAGGGAAAAGAAGAAAATTTTATTTTCAATGTTCGGTTAATGAAAGGAAGAAAAAGGAAAATGCTTTTATTTTATCTTTCCCGTCGAATTCCTCTAATTTTGGGAAGAAAGGAAAGAGGCTTTCCTTTCACTTCCCCTTCTTTCCTTTAAATTCTCACGTCATTCCAAACCAAACATATTAAAACATTTTCCATTTTTTTCTTTTCCAGCCAAGTCCCTTCAATCAAAAAGGGCCTTAAGGAATATATTTGGGGGTTGATAATGGTCATTTTCAATTTTCAATTTTCACTTTATTTTTAATTTATTTTTTTGTTTTCTCTATATTTGAAAACTTGTTTAGTTTTTGTTTTCAAAATTCCAAAACCATTAATACAAAATTATTGCCACTAGGCCAATGCACTATTTTTTTTTTCAATTTACAGAATAAGTCGTTGTTATATACTCATATATAATAAATAAAATTCAACTTACAAATTTGCTATTTTTTTTAGGCATACAAATTTGCTATTGTTAATGAATAATTTATTCCAATTTAATAGATGTTAAGGTTCGGTTATATTCAATTAAATAATAATATCTAGAATCCTGTCAAAAAAAAAATCTAGTAAATATAATTTCATTTCGTTAAAAATAAGTTTAACTCAGGAAAAATAAATTTTAATTAGTAACATTAAAGAACAAATATAATAGAGAATCAGTAAAAATAATTTGATATTAGTAAAAACAATTTTAATCCGGTAAAATTATTTCAACTCAGCATAAATAAAGTGAATTGAACAAGATATAATAGTAAGTTACTACGTATAAATAAAGTATTGTTAATGATTAAAGATTTTTTTTTTTTAATTCCAAATTTTTTTTTTTTAATGTTTTTTTTTTTCTTTTAATTTTTACCTTTTACTTATTTTTAAACACGAGTACAAAACACCAAATAATTTTTTAAATGTGGAGTGAACAAGACCTAAATTTAATTACTCCATACTAATATACCTGAAAATAGGGCAAGTAAGAGTATTTTGGGCTTTTAGGGTCCAAGAGTAGAAGTTTAACGAAAATAGGTTAAACTATGCTTGAACTTCAAGCAGGCAATTACCGACCTATCTGTAACTACCTGGCTTTTCTTTCTTCAACTGTCTTCTTACTCTTTCATTCATTCATTCCCAAATCTCAAATTAATCAAACCCTAATTTTCTTTCTTCAAGCAACTAATTGCGTATTCATTCAATCAATTAATCGGAAGTTCTTCGAATTTACGATCTTCTTTTTCAATTCTCTTTCAAGGTACGTTTCTTTTATTATTCATCTTCGCTATTTCTTAATTCAGATTTAATTTTTGCTGATTTTTCGCTTCGATTCATCGCTGTTCGTCGTATGTGAATCTTGTAATTGATTGTCGTTTGATTTTTGGAATTTGTATGAGTTTGTTGCTTTGATTTTTAGTACTTTTCTTCTGATTCTTGTGCTTGTCTTTTTTTGTCCGATTGAAACCCTAGAAAAAGTATGAATTTAGATTGTTATTTTGATTTTCCTTTGATTTTATTTGGATTTCAGTATAAGCATGATGCATTATGTATTACTTTAGTCTCGTTGTATATGATTGATGAATTATGAGTTAACCCTAATTAGCGATTAAACTTCTAATCTCAGCGAATTTTAGATGTTATATAGTTTGTGACTTTGTGTATTTGTTGAATGTATTGATTGTTTTGATAATCTGAAACTCTATTATGTATCTTCTTGTGCATTGTATTTGATTGCAAGAAAGGTTATCGTGGATTAATTTGAATTTTTGTCCAGTTATTGTGCTTGAATTCTTTTAAAATAATTTTGAGTTTTTATTCTCCTTCAGATTGTTTGTATCTTCAAATATATTAGTTACTGTTTATTGTTCTTTCTAATGTTTGAGTTGATATGATAATTGTTATGTAGAATTCGAATGTTGTTTGCTAAACTTTATTGTTCTTGTGGTTTTGCAGGTTTTATTTGGTGATTAATCAATCATGAGGTTTAAGGTAGGAACCATGGTGGAGGTCTTGTCCAAAAAAGACCCTTCACGTGTTTGGAGGTGTGCAAAAATTGAAGAAGATGATGGAGATGGTTACACTGTCAGATATTATCGAGGCCCAGGCATAGCTAAGGATGCTGTTGACGAGGTTCCAGCTGATGCAGTCAGGCCTTGTCCCCGACCATCAAAGAGTACTAATATTTTGCTTGTTGGTGATGTTGTGGAAGTGTTAGATGACGGTTATTGGAGGGTTTCCGTGATCGATGAAGTTTTGGAAGATGATTGTTTTTACATTCGGGTGATTGGATCTTTGGACGAGTTTAAAGTTAATAGGTCTAGTATTAGAGCACTACAAGAATGGAAGCAGAAGAAGTGGGTTCTGATAGATAAGGTACTATTCTGATTGGTTTAATGCGTAATTGTAAAGTGGACTTTATGCATTTTGATTGTTTATAGACATTTACACTAGTTTGCTTTTGTGTAGAACTGCAATTGTTTATCATGGCTGTTTACACTCTACTAACAGATTTTTATGTTTTTTTTTTTTTAATATAATTGTATACTATGAGTATTTTGATTTTTAATTCATGTATGTAAAATTGTACGAAATATTTATTTGTTTTGTTCTGTGAATGCAGGATTCTGAATATCATGAAGATTTGGCGTCCAAGATGCACAAGAAATCCCATGTGCAGGAAGTTCCAGAATCCAATTTGCCACCTAAATCATTGAAGAGGTCTTTTTCTGATCATTCATCTACTGCCAAAGTTTATTCCAAGTGTTCCCAGAAAAGAAGATTAGTAGATAATGCGGTTGAGCTTGATGCTATCGATGGTGACTCATATTCATTCACTGGAAAGGTAGAAAACCCTACAAACCAAAGGGGAAATCTTGGTAAAGATACTATGCAAAATTTTACTAAGAAAACAATCCGATCTAATAATGCTTACAGTAGAAATCATGATGATTTCCTGGGGCTAAATGATTGTGTCAGTACTATGTCATATGTTGCTAGTTGTAGCATCACTAATGCCATTTCTGATAGGTTGCTCAGCCATTCTTCTGCAGGAAGTAGACAGGATAGTGCTTCTCTTTGTAGTGACGCAGATTCACATAGTCATTTGGGATCAGAGGAAGAAATGTGTATTGATCAGTTAGAAAGGGGAGATGTTTTAAGAACACATGAGTTAGATTTATATGGTTATCGATGCGTTCTAGAAACTTTATATGCGTCTGGTCCTTTAAGTTGGCAACAAGAAACTGCTTTAACAAACCTTCGTATGAAGCTTTATGTTTCAAATGATGAACATTTGAGTGAGTTGAGGAGGTTAAGTTCTTTTGGTGTGAGTTGTCAATAGCTTTAGATGTCCTTTCTTATAATTTAATTGCACTGGGTCTTGTAAAGTTCAGTGATACCTTGTGCCTTGTAAGAAGTGGGTGACGTTTGAAAATGTACATATGTTCAATTGTTGATGCAGTCATGAAATTTGCATACTTACAATATTCATATACATTTGAAAAATCTTATATCAATTATCTATTTTGGAAGTAATGTTTCTAGCCTCTCTTTAGCTGTCTTGATACTTCTATAATTATTATTGATGCTTCTCATACATATTTCAGGAGCTGTCCAGACATGTAAACCTTACTGCCACAATCTTAAAGATGATGTTGTGGTTAGCCTTCTCCTCTGTAGTTTTGAGAAAGGGGCATCATCTGCAATGGCTCCTTTGTAAATGAGGCAATTCATGTCGGAGGCTGTGATTAATCCCTTTTATGTTGTTTTCTGTGCTTCATTCCAGGTAAAAAATGATTTTTTAAGTTAAACTACTCGAAGCTGAACAGCTCCTCTGGAGCCTGTGAGCGATATGCTTTTTAAAGATCCCTTGCTGGGCCTTGTTAGTTGTGGTCTTCTTTTATACATGGCATTAATTTTTCTTTTAAATTATAGAATAATATATTGCCTCAAAAGTTTGAAGATTTTGACAAATATTGTTACAAGTGATTGAAGAATTTGAAATTGAGTATTAGTATGATCTGAACGTAATAAACATAGCTAGAGATAAGAAGTGTAATTGCTGGGCATCTCTACTAGTTAACTTAGAAGGTCTTTGTTTTGCTGAGTTGGATGTAAATATTGGCAAAGTTATTGCATCTATGAATAACCAAAGTTCGTAATTAGGTGCTCAGATTATATATTTTTCATGTGTGTGCATATGCAGAAAGGCCTGGGATTAGAATAAACTGTCATCTTGGATACTAATCTGTTTTATATGTAGACTACCCTATTTTGGGTGTGGGGGGGGGGGGGTGTTGGGGTTGGGATGTTGTAGGTCATTTTCCGTTTTAAACTTGGAGGTGTCGTCTGTGCCATCTTATTCTAGAGCATTTTCCTAGTTTCTACGTAAGCAACACCAGCTGTTTCATGGACCTCTGGATTTTTGTGAATTCTGATTTTTAGCCTTCTTTACAATGTGTGCTGAACTGCTGATAGAGATATTGGTTGTATAATTTTTTCCCTAAATTTCATGGTTTACATATTGTTATATCCATATATGTGTGATTTGCTAATAGCATCTGTTGGGCAATGGCACAGAAAATAGGATCTCGGTCCATGTCTGAGGCTCTGAGCTAAGCTCCTCAGTGACCATGCAATTTTCTGCCGCCAAATAATCTGAGGTTATTCTAATTCCCAATCAGGTGCCTCCACTTATGTTTGGCCATGAGATTATGTGTTCTTAATTTGCTGGGTGCTGAGAAGCTCACTAATATGCATGCCACTGAATCACAGGTTTGTGTATTATGGTTCAAGTACTGCTTATACGGGTATAATGAATTTTTTAGAAACTTGAGCTCTGTGTTATTATTTATATACATAGGAAAAATAAGGTAAAAATGTATCCTCTATCCTCTCCCTCTTCTTGAAACCAGGCATCAAAATTTATGATGGTAGTCAATGGTTATAGTGTTTGATAATGTGGAGTCTTTATGATCCTCTTATTTTGCTTAAGTGCCTTGTACAGTTGTACTCCTATGATGTTGCAGTACTTATTTCCTCCGTTTTTTTAAGATGAAAGTCATGAAACATATTTAGATTTACATTATTTATGCACACTATACAATCTCAATTTTTGGTGATTTTTTCAAATGGAAAAACATAGTCATGTTGGAGTCTTCTTAGATTCATCTTAATTCATACTTTTCAGGTATTAATTTTTAAATATTTGTTGCTTATTTATAATTTAACGAAATTGTTGAGCAAGAAATGTTTTGTATTTAAAAAAAACGAAGTATCATGTAAATGATTGACAGCGATGAACTCCAGTTAGATGAGGATAATCTTGTGTAAGGTTTTACACTTTGCAACCTCAAGTACTTGTTTGGCAGCTCTCCAACTTGAAGATCTCTATCAGAACCTATTTGTCATAACTACCCAGTTATGCTGGTTCACATCCTTAGCTTGAAGAAATTTTTAAGACATCTGCAGAAGAATGTAGCAAGACTCTGCACGCGGTTGTTTCATTCTCCTGCGATCTCCTTTAGGCTTTTACTGTTTTGTCTGAAGAATGTAGCAAGACTCAGGGTGCTAATTGCAGCATGATTTTTGTAGTACAGGCTTATAGCTTAAAATATTTGATGGTAAAGCATGCCAGGGAACTGTAGTTATAGTTTAATGTATTCAATTTGATTTGTTTTGAGTTAAATAATTTGTTTTCCATTCTGCAGAAAAGCCAAGTATTATCTTCTTGTTTTGGGTTTGTTTTGTCAGCCTTTTTACTTCCATCTTTTGTTTTGCCTATAAGAAATATGCCTCAACAAAAATCGGATCTCTTTTTATATACTTTTTTTATTTAGGGAAACTCGATTGATTATTTAATAATACTGTATGTTAAATAGAATACAGTTTATGTAACTATTTTTTTATATACTTTTTTTCCACAAAGGAATTGCGTAGTAAAATACAGTTTTATATAATTAGAGAAAACTTAGGAGGGGAAAAAAAAAAGAACCACCCTAAAATTTGCATAGATGTAGGCAATATCATAAAATCACTTCAATTTTTGAATTATAATCATAAAAAAAGTGATGCAACCAAATATTGGGAGTGATTGCTTCTATTTATCAACCTACAAGGTTGTTTTTTTTGACAAAAAGTTTCTTAATATCACAACAAATTCCAATCTTTATCAAAGTCGAAAATGAAGCCTAATAGCCTGGATGCCTTCTTACTATAAACTTGAAGATCAAGGCTATTGTCATTCATAGATACTGAGTCAGAAGGCAGCAGAGTAAAAATTTTATAACATAGTCTGCTTGAAAAGAAAGAAAATGCCAGTACATTGATTTGTAATATACGATGTACCACTTTCACCCTGCCATTTTTCTGGAATGATACTTCAAGCTCCCAAGGCTTACAAAAAGCAGGTGATTTTTAAAGATGAAATCCCACATCTCCCTTAAAAAAATATCACATTACTACTAGAGAATGGTTAGGCCAATAGCTATCATGGCTCATATGAACAAGTGCTTGTATTCCCCATTAGCAAGCTGACACAGTTGATTATAGTTCTGTGGATCTGCAACAAACCCGAAAAAAAATGAAAGTATTAAAATTTACAAAAATCAATGAAATATCAAGTCTTGTTCAAGTCTACATCAGTCACTCTACCATATACTAGAATTGCAAATGTTATTGCACTTTTTTATAGATTTTGTCAATCAACACATCATTTAAAGAGTCAACAGCAAAGCCAGCAACAGCAACAAAATATTGTCTTCAGCACAGCAAGACTTGACATCTAGGAGATACACTTAACACGAGCAAAAAAAAAAAACATATACTTGATTTAATTACAGTTAGCACCATATTAATCATTACACATCGGTATAATATCTGTCAAAACAGTGCCTGGGGTACACATTTATATTGTAGTCTCCGATCAGAATTCAGATTTTACATATGTACAGAGTCACCACTCCACACACCATTATACTTCCCCTTTGGTTATAGGTAGTTTGTCGATACTCGATACCTAACAAGGTAAAATGCTTCAGCACATCAATTCCTAGACACTGCTAGAGCACATCAGTACATCACAAATTCACAACCCCAAACCTCCCCTTAGGCAAAGCAGGCAGTAGGAGATGGGATATGATACGGGAGCATAACAATAACACAACGCGTGATTCAAGCCATAATAACATATTTACAAGAAGAGCACGCCACCAGACAACACACACAAGGACAGAACTAAAATTTCCAGCTTATCGGAGTTATATCTCTGTAGACAGTAGACAGGATATGTGAATCACTGCACCTACAAATAATTCCATACAGTTCAACAATTATAGATTTATAGATGTTTCATTTCTCGCAAATCAAGCTAAGCAATTTCAATCTATTATTGACACGATAAACAACCAAACAAATTAATACATTAAGGAGAGGAGCTCACTATACTAACCAAAATTATCACCAAAGTTGGTTATTATGTCAGCAAGAACCGATTGATTGCTATCAGCAATACCAATAACCTCAACATATTTGGTAAGTGGTTGAGTTGGTGGCGAACCCTTTATGACGAGCTGATGATCATCAGTTGATTTCCCAATCAAAGAACCTTCATCAGATTGTATCACCTGTACAACTACCCGAACCTTCCGCCCAACATACAAGCGAAGCGATTCTCCATTGGCGAAAGCTGCAGGATTTGATGTATCCATATTCTGCAAGCATATAGCATGACACCTTAGATTCAGAACCTAATTAGATGATTAAAAAAAACAATAACACTGCTAAATTAAGTTACTCAGACTAAATTCTTCAGTATTCTAATAATAGAATCTGGTATAATCAGACTTGTAAAAATGATCACTATTTCATAATTCCATCCTAACATTTAAGGTTTCTGCAACAGATTAGTAACCAAATTTGACTCAATCATCAAATTAGGCTCGATAAATTAGATACAAATCTTCTCATATCAATGTAAATTTCACGCTAGTAGCAAAATCGGTAGTATTAATTTTTCAAAACTTGAGTGATTTTAACCAATAGTTCAATTATTCTACCATAGAAGAACCCTAAATTGACTAGTGTGAAAGTAAACCCTAAATTGACGATTAAATTGAAAATGGAGTGAAATTAAACCCTAGATTGTAAAACTGATATCAAATATTAAATAAATCTTACCTAAATCTGTTTCAATGGTGGTGAGAAAGCTATGAAGCTGCTTCAACGAAGAATTTGGCGTACGCTTCAATGGAAGATGAGAGAGAAAAAGAGAGGAGTTAGAAGGGTTTACTTTCCTCTTCTTTTTAATATGTACTATTTTTTTGGGCGCCTTCAAATAATGTTTTCCCGCCTTTTTGTGTGTGTCTTATGGGCCACTTTCGATTAATTTAGGGGAGTTTGTTGCTTTCAAGCTTGCTAAAGCAAAGAGTCTGTTCTGGTCGCCTTAATTTCAATTCAGCTTTAATTAGTTCAGTTTAACTCTAATTAATTAAGTTCAGTTTTAATCAGTTCATTTCAGCTTTAATCAATTCAGTTTGGTTACTAATTTCATTGTCTTATAAACAATTTATTTCAATTCTGTAAATAAAAAAACCCTTAAATTTATCGGAAGTTTGGAATTTATTAGCTTAATGTATCATGTTTAGGGTAAAAATTATCCATGACAAATGGACCAATCCGGACCTGCCACGTGTCCACCACGTGGGCCAATCAGCGTCCGCCACTTGTCACCCTAAGAGGTCCAATATGGACTAATCAGGCCACGCCACGTGGCCTCCCATATGCCAAATAGGCAAAATGGCCACCAAGGCCCAAAGTCCGAGAGAAGCCCAATTTGCCCTGGTTAACCTAAACCTAGGATTGGCATGCTTCTCAAGACTATAAATACTTAATTAATCCTCATTAAAGGGGATTCAGCAATTGATGACTCTCACCTAGAGAAGTCTAAACACATTGATCACTCCTCCCCTAGAGGAACCAGATCTCCCACCTTTACTTTCCGCATTTATTACTCCTCAAACAAGTACTAACTTGACCGTTGGAGGCGGAGCTCCAATCATCCGGAGCATCCGTTTGTTTTGCAGGTACAGGCGTCCGGTTCCAGTCTCGGAATTGTAACTCTCCCGCAGGACATCAGAAAACCCCGAAACATTTTGGCGCCGTCTGTGGGGAGAGTACTTTCGAGATGGTATCACAGTCTGTACCGGTTCTAAGTGAGAAGCGTTCCATGGACGACCCCCTGGTCCAGTCAGACTAGGATACCGACGAAGAATATGAAGTTGAGACTCACACGGCCCCTGACGGGTCCCTCAGAGCTCGACGCACCCGTCCCATCGAAAGGAGGGAACGGGGAGACTGCCTAGCTAAATCTAGTAAACCAGCCGGCCCGCCGCCTGATCATCAACAGGCGGTCGAGGGATCTGCCCCTATAACCAGGAATGAACTCATGGCCCTCATGAGTAGTTTCAAAGGAGAGATCCAAGACTTGATCAATAGAAGGGTGCCTGTCCCTGCAAAGGAACAGTCGGCCAGAAGACCCTCCCAATCTGGGAGGAAGAAACCTGCAAAGGATCGTGAGGCGACCCCTTACCCAAAATCAAGGGCAAGGCACTCACCAGTGATCGACCTAACAAAGTACTGCTTTCCTTCTCCAGGGAAGAGGAAACCCATCCGTCTTGTTCATCCGGCCAGGTGTAACCACCCCCAATTGAAGTTAGATGCGCCTAGCATCACTCAATGAGTACAGCCGGCAAGATAGCAGCCTCTAAGCATTCGGCCCGGCAGCCAAGTACTACAAGCGTCATACGGCCGAATGCCAAGAGTCGTATGGATAGGTTTGTAAGCTATTGTTATCAAGTCATTATTACCCATTTTTATTAATCATTATTATGATTGTAAAAAAAATAAAAAATAAATAAAAAAAAAAAAGAAAAAAGAGGGAGCCGCCTAACTTACTAATTCTATGGAAAAACTCCACTTAAAGCCTTAGGTGGCAATCCACTACACAATTAAAAGCCTCTCATTTTGTACATTAAAGAGAGGTGTCAAAGAAGTGGAGCCCTTGGGATTTGACGCCTGTTTGCATTAGCTTATCAAGGCCACAATCAAGTTAATTTTTTATTTATGAGGCGGCATTTAGCCTAGCCCCTCATGATTATAACAAACAGCGGGCAGCTTCACAAATGGAAAATCGCCGGCATGCTCCACATGTAAAGATCAAGCTAAGTGATTCTTGGGAGTATTCAGGGAGTCGGCCCTCCATGAGTGTTCAACCAGTGTAATGTGTCTAGCAAGCCACTAATAGAGCTCTCGGCAACGAATGGACAAGCATAATAGGCAACCGTATATCAAGGAAACCCGGTAGTACTGCTTGAGTGGTTGAGCAGCTGCGCTAATAGGAGCAGCACATATAGGTGTTTGCAATGCTAATATCGGCTGATTGTATACAAGTTAAGCCACGAAGCAGCCAGATGGTATATTGAATACATAGCATGTATTTGCCACTAGCAAACGTGCATTGAACTTGGCTGTGTTGGGATGATATAAACAACCGGCATAAGTCCGAATGATTTCAGAGCAGGCGGCCTCAAAATAACCGAGACGCTAATGCTCCTCTTTGATACAGCCGGCCCAAGCATTTCAAAAATAGGCGGCCAAATGCCGAGTTCGAGGCGAGAAACCGAGCCACACTTGAGAATTGAGAATAATCGTGCGGCACTCCAAGCATTCGGCCCTTTAAGAGCAAAGCACCATGTGAGTCGACTATACGAGGCCCTGTTTCAAGGAGAAATAGGCGGCACCTACCCAGCAAAAACAGCCGCAACTACATAGCATCCAAAATCAACACGCGGTTGGTTCAATACAATCGGCTCTATAATCATTCAACGACAGCCGAGAGAATTATTTTAAAATAAAGTGCTTATCTCATACTATCAGCTAGCCTACAAGAAGGATACCGGCCATTAAAACCATTCGCAAAGAACGAAGCGGCATTCACAACCATTGATTATTAAAAGCATAGCTAAGCTCAAGTTCTTATAACCATGGAAGCAGCCGGCCTGCTCCTCATGTAAGTTCAGGCTATGTGATTCTTGAATTTTGAAGGGTCATGGTCGAGTAAATTCAGGCTATGTAAGTTCAGACTACGAGTTTTGTGCTTTGGACTGAGCAGGGGATTGAGTAGGCGGCACCAGCCCTCATCCCAGCCAAAACATCGTTCAGCCATATTTTACCCTAAACATTCGGCTCTCCGCTATTGAAACTTGTAAGCGAGAGCTTGATGGCTCTCATCTCAAACACATACAAGCGTTAAATCAAGACTCGAATGGCTCGAAACAGCCGGCACTCTTTTATGGACAGCTACAAATATCTAATGGGCAGGAACGATACGGAACAGCCGTCACCTCATAACAAAACCAGCCGGCCTTCATCATGGTTGTGTTACTTGCAAATTCTACCTAGCTTGCATTAAGAAAACTAGGCAAGTCTGGAGGGCTGAGCATCTCACATCTCAATGGCCATCGCAAAAACAGTCGGCTATGGTTTACAAGAGCCGTCTAGTTCATATAAGCAGGCGACATTCACAGCTAACTCAGTAAACGAATGCGGGACTATGGAATGCGTAGCATACTTCCCTACACCTGGGAGTTTAAGAGTGGTCGCACAGGTTGTGATACGGCACTTCAAGGACAAGCGTCTCTAATAAGCAGCTGAATGGCTTCGCTCATATAAACAAGGGCTATTTGATGTAATTGTCTCTCCTAGACGCCTGATATATCAAAGCTCCCAAGCAGTGTGGGTCCTAGGCTCATAAAACTAAACCAATGAACCATTGAAATTGCATAAATTTGTGCCACAAGCTAGCAAGCAAAGGCACAGCAAGACAAGAGTGTGTTCGTTATGCATGGCAAAATACACAAGACGGGAGTGGACGTCTAATCTTGAGAGTTTGTAAATTTTCATAACAGGCGGCTCTCGCTACCATCACAAGTCAGGCTATACGGCAATTAAAAACAGCCGGCACATCACGGCAGAACCAGCCGGCCTTTGAAATCATTGACAAAGTACAAGGTGGAGCATGGGCACCTATGATTAAAGCATCCGGTAGTAGCACAAGCAAGGGGCGAAAGCCGTATGTTTGATAGACTCCTTGCTGAGTAGAAAACTGAAGATGAATTAGAAACACAAGCGGCATAATAAGCCACCTGTGAATATGCAGGCTATATACAAGTGGCTTGGCAATCGACATCATACAACAGGTGGCATGCCAAATGATTATTGAAAACACCCCCTCGTATCTTGGTGCTATGAGAGAGCCAACTCTCTTTGATCAACCACCAAAGGAGACTGGCACCATGCTTGGCTGGATGTGAAGCTTGAGCAGGCGGCATGTAAAGCGTCGTAGCTCAAGCAGCCGGCCTCAAAACCCAAAGAGTAGTCGATTGCTTGTTCATTGCAAGCATGTGTGGGGCTTGACGCCTTGCATATCGTATAAAACCTGCCGCATGATTATTCAGGAAGTCTCATCTTATGTGTGAGTTGTCACCATAAGCACATTATCATTATTATGATTGCAAGTAAAAAAAAAAAAAAAAAAAAAAGGAAAAAATTGCCTAAGGTTAGTAAAACCGGCTGTTTAGGCGGCACCCTATTGAAGACCGTCTCCCTTCTGTTTAGGCGGCACCTTACTGAAGACCGTCCTCCACTTATTTGTGTGACAATCTATCAAGCAAGAGAGGCGGCATGAATAGTAGCCGACCCCCTATACAATGAAGTCTCGTAGCTATGAAAGCAACCGACTCTCATTAATAACACCATCCATCCTTTATGGAAGGGAACTAGGTGATCCATCTGCTCTAACACTTGAAATGATTTCAATACTTGATACTGATTCAGAGGGGCATGCCACTTGTACCTTTACAGTTGGCTAGTCTCCATTGAGTATTTTACTCTTATCTACAGAGGGGCATGCCGCCTGTACCTTTACAGTCGGCTACTCTCCATTGAGTATTTTACTCTTTATCTTCAAAGGGGCATGCCGCCTGTACCTTTATGGTCGGCTACTCTCCATTGGTTATTTTACTCCACCAGAGGGGCATGCCGTCTAGACATACAGTCGGCCACTCTCCATAGAAGAGGGACGGCTGTTTCCAAAACAGACAACCACCCCCTTATACTTAGCTAAAAAAGATTAGGGCCAGGCCGACCATGTGCCTAAACAAGCGACTGCCCTCTTCTTACTTAGCACCTACGTTCGCCAAGAACTAACCAAGGCCACAGGCCCGATGATCAGCCCAGGCGCCAGGCCGACTGATCCTCCCTTAAAATTAAACTAATACGACCTGTCCCAACATAATAGCAGGCGTCCGGCGGCATCCCTCCGGATGAAATTCGTCGCAGAGAGCAGCTCCCTTTTGGGTGGAATATTGCTCTATAAACTAAGTACACGACACCTAGACGACTGTCCCCAAGGACAACCACGTAGCCGTTTTTGAGACAAGGATAACTCTATCACTAACCAAACCAGTGGTAGCAGTTGACATCTGAGTCGGATGACCCCTTGTATTACTTGGGATAAATGCAGGGGGTACCTCTTGAGTTAATAGCCAACAAACATTGGCGAATCAAAAGGTTCAGCCGGCCTCCGCCGCCTGGTACCTTTACTACTCAAGCAGGAGTGACGGCGACTGAGTAACACCAAAGTCAACTCATAGGCACTCCCTCAAACTTGGTATGGAACCTAAAAGGTTTGAGTAGACCGCCTGTTTTTTGGCAAACAGGGGCACTCAAACCCCTATTCCTACTAGGTAACCACTCCTTGGGTTAATAGCCAACAAACATTGGTGAATCAAGGGGATCAGTCGGCCTCCGCCGCCTGGTACCTCTACTACTCAAGCTAGAGTGTGACGGAGACTGAGTAACTCCCATGTTAACTCATAGTCACTCTCTCAAACTTAGTATGGAGCCTAAAAGGTATGAGTCGCCCGCCTGTTTTTAGCAAACAGGGGCTCTCAACCACTACTCCTGCTAGGTTAACAACCTTTGAGTTAATAGCCAAGAAAAACCTTGGCGAATCAAGGGGACGATCCGGCCCCCGCCGCCTGGCTTCCCTACTACTCAAACAAAAGAGGCCAACGGCCGAATAATGCTAAATGCTTACCCTTGTGCAATAGTTGACAGTCCACCTGATCAGGGGCTATCTGCATAGTGGGGCAAAGAATCGGCATTTGTCTAGTTCGGCGGCAATCATTATTATGATTGATTAACCTTGAAAATGTCATACCGCCCAAGGTATCAAAATTTTCTAAGTTAATCAAGTCCATCTCCCATTAGAACTAGACAAGATGCCGACCTAGCAAAGCTTCGAGGGTCTAACTTTCGAAAGGAGCAATCCCTCCTGGAAAGAGAAATTACTCCTTCCGAGGGGCAAATGTTTAGGGTAAAAATTACCCATGACAAATGGACCAATCCGGACCTGCCACGTGTCCACCACGTGGGCCAATCAGCGTCCGCCACTTGTCACCCTAAGAGATCCAATATGGACTAATCAGGCCACGCCACGTGGCCTCCCATATGCCAAATAGGCAAAATGGCCACCAAGGCCCAAAGTCCGAGAGAAGCCCAATTTGCCCTGGTTAACCTAAACCTAGGATTGACACGCTTCTCAAGACTATAAATACTTAATTAATCCTCATTAAAGGGGATTCAACAATTGATGACTCTCACCTAGAGAAGTCTAAACACATTGATCACTCCTCCCCTAGAGGAACCAGATCTCCCACCTTTACTTTCCGCATTTATTACTCCTCAAACAAGTACTAACTTGACCGTTGGAGGCGGAGCTCCAATCATCCGGAGCATCCGTTTGTTTTGCAGGTACAGGCGTCCGGTTCCAGTCTCGGAATTGTAACTCTCCCGCAGGACATCAGAAAACCCCGAAACATATCATGTTATGTGTTTAGAAGTCCTAATTCAGGTATTTGAATTGGGTTTGGTGATGTAGGGTCGGGTCAATCTATGTCAAAGATAAGTCATGCTAAATAATTGTGCTCATATGAGTCGAAATTGAAGTTGGGTTTTTAAAGTCAGATGGATTGTGTTGGTTGGGTTAGTTTTGACATCTCTAAATTATTGTATTAGTTTATTATCAAAGACGATAATTGAAGATGCTTCCTAATGTTTTTTTCCTTGCCTTAAAAATAGAATTTAAAAATGGCACCTCTAAATTATTGTATTCCGCAAGTCTAATTGATTTATTTCAATGTATACAATGCATAATAAAACAAATTTAAATCAAATGCTTAAGATTCCATGATAATTAAATCACTCAAATTTTGCACAAAATACTCCGGATTGAAGTAGTTTTAGATATTATAGAGATTTTTCAAGCTTTAAGTGAGTTATAATTGAGTATGAACAAATATTACTCCATTATCCGTATAAAATTTAAAAAGTTGCTCACGAACATTATCAAGCTAAATATGACAATGGTTCAATTGCCTGATTTACTTAATTTCGGTTCAATTTAGATTAGTTCGAATCGATCCTAGGATCTCCTAGAATCGGGAGGAAAACTCTAACCACTTGAGCTATCCATCACTCTCCGCTCTATTCTTTGTTAATTGTTACCCCCGTATTAACCAAATAAGTCCAACAAAGATTTGACAAACAGGGAAATCCAATCCCAACCACAAAACGGATATGATTTCTTATCTTCCCCGCTAAAACTCCCCTTACACTCTTCTAGTCTTCTCTCACATTTCCACTTCCGAGTAACTCATCCTTCATTTTCATGGATTCTTAACACCTTCACTCACAAAATCAATCACACCCCATTAACAATGGACACTCTCTCTCTAACTCCCCACCTCTCTCGCCTCCTCAAACTCTCTCTCTCTTCCTCACCACCACCACAATCACAACCACCACCACCCAACTTTCTCTCTCCTCGCCCTCTCCTCCTCCGCCACCACCACCCCATCACTTTCTCTCTCCTCCCCCACCACCAACAACAACCCCCCACCACAACCGCAACCACAACAACCTCTGATTACGACTCCTTCAACGAAGACGAATCATACGGCGAAGTTAACCGTATCATCGGCAGCCGCGTCTCCCCCTCCTCCCCCACCACCATGGAGTACCTCATCGAGTGGAAAGACGATATTGCCCCTACCTGGGTCCCCGCCAACTTCATCGCATCCGACGTCGTTTCGGAGTTCGAGTCCCCCTGGTGGAACGCCGCCAAGAAGGCCGACGCTTCCGGGCTTGAGGAAATCCTGGCCCGGCCCGACTCGGCCCGAGACGTGGACGCGGTGGACTCTGATGGACGTACGGCGTTGCACTTTGTGGCCGGGCTCGGGTCTGACACGTGTGTGAGGCTGCTTGCCACGTATGGTGCTGACGTGGATAAGAGGGATGTGACAGGTGGCGGGCTGACGCCGTTACACATGGCAGCTGGGTATGCCCGGCCCGAAGCGGCCCGGGCGTTGGTAGAAGCAGGGGCGGATCCCGAGGCAGAAGACGATAAAGGACGGATGCCGTTGGATTTAGCTAAGGAGATCCTGGGAGTGACTCCCAAGGGGAATTTGATGCAATTTGGGAGGAGGTTGGGGTTGGAAAATGTGGTGAAGATTTTGGAGGGGGCAATTTATGAATATGGAGAAGTTGAGGGGGTTTTGGAGAAAAGAGGGAAAGGGGAGAATTTGGAGTATTTGGTGAAGTGGAGAGATGGGGGAGAGAATGAGTGGGTTAAGGTTGGGTTTATTGGGGAGGATTTGGTGAGGGATTTTGAGGATGGGCTTGAGTATGCTGAGGCCCAAGGGGTTATCGGGAAGCGGGTCGGGGATGATGGTAAAAAAGAGTTTCTGGTGAAGTGGGTTGATTATGAGGATCCGACATGGGAACCTGAGGAGAATGTGGATCCTGATTTGATCAAGGAGTTTGAGGAGTCCGAAATTAGTATTAGTAGTAGTAGTGATAGTAATGTTTCGAGTATTGGTACTTGAATTTTTGCTTGATGAAATTTTGGTTTTGGAATGTGATGTTTGATGGTCCATCATTTTTTGATCATTCAAGTGTATTTGATTGTAGAGAATAGAGAAGAAAAGGCAATGTAGTGTGTTCTTTTTAAAATTGTGTTTGATAAAGATAGAACAAGACACAATTTGTTAGATCAAACAAATTTATAAAAGAGATTATACAGATTTTGAGATGTAATATCTCAATTCTAATAACATTTACACTAGTATATACTTGTACTAGATACATGCAAGTATTACAAATTTACAATTCAAGATTCAAGCAACTCTTCTAACGAGAGTCTAAAGTGAGCTTAATCAGAGCTCTTGCTTTGCAGTCACCAACTTTCCAATACCATAGAGGCTGATAGAAGCTGTGAAGTTCAGGATTCGTAACCAGCAACTCTGATCGTTGCAAGTTTGCAACATGACATGATGAGAACTTTAATCTGCTTTAAAATTACAAGTGTGCATAATATCCTGATGTTTGATGTTCTCACCCTCAAACTTCAGCAAATTCTTGAAGCACAATGCTTCTGTAAAATCATAACGAAGTTCAGTGGTTAAAAGAAACATGATCTCTTTAGAGCTTGGCTCTGTCAATGGACTGCAGTTTTCTGCATCCAACTGTGTGTTACCAAATGCATGACCTATACCGCAAAGTCACAAACACTTAAATATAGAAAGCATACAAATACAATTAGCAATAGCTGTTTGCAAGTATTAAAAAGAAATAAACACAGGCATGTACAGTGTTTATTTCCTAGATGTCTGCACACTGTAATCGCAGAGCTAGAAATTAGACGGAACAAAGATTTATGACAAATTCTGAATTACTAGCTTCTACAAAAGAATAGACGCAAGAAAATTCCCAGTAAAACAAACATTTATTCACTGCATTAACAATGGCTGTCAACATGTACAATTTGAAAACTATTGTCTGCTTCAGAAAAGGTGTAAAGCATACAAGAGCTAGTGCAATGTCCACTCAAAGAACGAGGAAGACCTAAGGCATCAGTAATGAAGTTTAACATCCCCTTCTAGGAAGGTCAATTAAACCGTCTCATGTGTGCTTAACAGATTTGTACAACTTTTATTAGAAACTAAATCAATGTTCTACTCCACAATATGTAACCGCATTAACAATTCTCAGAATGTACAATTTGAACATCCTCCCAACTTTCTTACACAGGATAGTAGTTAACAGAACTTAGAGGGCCCAGAAAAGTGTGTCATGTATCTATACGCTATTAAGGTAAGAAGAGCTAGTAATAAACTCAACCCAAGCACTCAAATTGACAATAACCTCCTTAGCTAGCAACAAGGCAAACCAAGGCCTGTACTAGACTTTAACCTCCTTAGTTCCATTAAATGTTCATCTGTTGAAACAGAATACTTTTGACGGAGGTTTGTTAGATAAAATTCCAGCTCCCAACTCAAAGGACCACATGCATATAATGCTTCTAGGGTGCTACGGTATCTATTTAACTCTAGCTCATGCGATCTTAAAGTATCTTCCTGTATTGACTGACCAATAGACACTGCTTCATCTCCCCCTTTATGATAAAATGATTCAGCGTCACTACAAAAATAATCCCTTTCCTGACTACAGCTGGCTGAGGAATGGCTGATCAACCTATCAAAAATTGCATCACCAATGCTACAACTAGCAACAGATGATTCACATTGAACAGAATCAGTTTCAGAGGTTCTACCAAGAGGATTGGTATCATCATGGTTTCTACGGCTAGTGTTACTGGTTGTTCTTTTAAATATTTGCTCCTTATCCTTACCATGAGTTTTCCTAAATTTATCAGGTGTCTGTACCTTCCCATTGAAAGAAAACGAGTCTGGTACAGCACGAAGCTTAACCTCCTTCTCTGCTGCCCTTCGTTTCTGAGCATACTCCGGAGAAGAATCATCCACGAATGACCTTTTCTGCGTCTTGGACAGCAAGACACATTCCTGATCTTTCACAACGTCAAAGTCACCTTGTGTTTGCATTTGAGCCAACTTCTGCACCCTATATAACAGTTTCTTATCAATTCCAGAATCCTGCAATTACAGAACAGAAATCATCAGTATAACCCCAATATGTTAAGTACAAACAACCATGCAAGCAAAAGGAAACCATAGGAGCAATCATAAGCAAGTAATATTAATAATGGTTAGAGAAATTCGACATTGTTTTGCACGCAAGAAAGATACTCAGTACAGCAATTAGTAACAGATATTTACCTTCTCTAGAGGAAACCACTGGTTATTTTTCCATTGTTGCCGTGCTCTTACACCAGATTTCCTCACTCTAAACTCATCCACAGATCCGATCACCTGGATACCATACGAATCATCATTTTCCAAAACCTCTTCAATAATACTGACTCTCCAGTAACCATCATCCAGAACTTCCACAACATCACCAACAGCCCAAACTCTCGACCCTGTCACAGGTGGTGGACGAGGCCGGACTGCTTCCGAGGATACTTTGTCAACACCGTCTTTAGCTATTCCAGCACCGCGATAATATCTCACCGTATAACCATCTCCATTATCCTCCACAATCTGTGCACACCGCCAACCTCCTGAAAGATCCTTCTTCTTAGAAAAGACCTCCACCATACTTCCTCTATCAAACCTCATATTCAACTTATCACTGATTAACATCTAAACAAACAACACAAATTAAGATCAGAAATTATGAATAACAATTACTCATCAAATCAAAAAGCACTAAACAGAATCACAACACTACATAAACTTTCATATAAAAAGCATTTTATTCATTGAAGTTACCTAATAATATCCTTTTTTCCAAAATATATACATCAATAATTTCCTTCTTTAACAAAATTTCAACAACCTCAAAGAATTTAAACTAAGAATCAATACAAGATCATGATCACACATTATTCCATTAAATAACATTTATCATCAAAATTAAAGTAAAATGCAAGTAAAAATATAGCTTTTCAAATAAAAACAACGAATTGATTCTTTAAACCTTAGGGTTACTGCTCAAGTAGCGATCAATTAACAAAAAACAGAAAAAACAATTCCAGAAATTAATTATTTCATACAATCGGAAGAAAATCAATCACTAAAACCTAAAAAATAAATAGCAACAGAATAAAAAATTGAGAAGAAAATGAATACAATAACTTACTTCGTCAATCGGAAGAACGCCGAATTTCTGTGCACAACAAGCTGATTGATTGCAAAAATAATTGATCGATTGATTAATTACTAGCACAAATATTAGGGTTTTTTTTTTTTTTTTTTTTTGAAATTAATATTTGGGGATTAATAGGAGAAATTACTTGGGAAAAACGTAATTAATTTGAGAAAATCGAAGAATCTGGTTAGCTTGAGGCAAAATCTTTAGCAAGGTTGTTCTTCAACTGAACACGCAATTGGAAACTCTAATGAGTCATGAACAGAGTAGGATTGTATTCAAGGTTAAAAATCTATCTTCTTAATTTTTCTAACTAATTTAGTAATTTTGGAGTAAATTTAATTTTTATTTAGTTCAAAATAGTAACTATATCTCATATTCGATGTTACTAACTCCCTCATCGAGCTTAAAATTTACTTTTTTATTTTTATGGATGGAAAAATAAAAGTAACTTTTATTCCGCATTAGTTACTTATTTGAGTAGTAATTTTCTCGAAAATAAAAAATGAGTTTTACAACACTATTAAAGATTATTGCTTGTTTGTTCGAATATTAAAAAAAATTATACTCGTACTCCATATTTAATACTTCGTGTATCCACAAAGTATAAAGAATCAAAGACATTTTAAGGTGAATAAATACGTAATACATATTTTTCTTTGTTTATTAAGTAAGGGTCTATTCTCTTCAGCTTTGTAAATCAGAATGGCCCTAAGTTTACTTCAAATCATTAAGCATAACGTTAATGTAGGCTGTGTAACTTATAATGATAGATTAACTTTTATCATATTAATTTCGAGTAGTGTGGAATTAAATGAATAATTTTCTACCATTACTCTGTCCCAAATCTCATCATCACATACTACTACTTTTTAGTAGTATGTCTAATTTTTACTCAAATTCCTTTTATTGTTAACCATCTTGTCAAGGCTTACACTCCTTTGTCTCAATACTATGGTCCATGAAATGGTGTGCTAGTTGCAACTTGCCAAGTCTTGCCATTCATCAGCAAAATGGTCATTGTGTTCATGAGAAAAGGCGTGCAAGTAATCCAGCAAACGCATCATATGTTTTCTTTAGTACACAATTTCTTAAAAAAAAAACTGTCAAATGGATAGATTATATCGAAAACCATTCTAATGTCTAATGTTTAAGCTGATGTCAATCACAAAATCCAGTACGAATATATGTACATAGTATGATGCAAATTTATGTACTTCGTATAAACTGTAATGCAGCATAAGTACATCTTTCTATAAGCAAAAGTTGAAGCACAACAATAACCTATTGTAACGATCAATTTCACATGCATATTTGAACTATATGCACTTAACTTTTGTAAGATCAGCATAAAAAATTAGATCAAGATCAACTTAACATGGTGCAGAAAACTAGTGAGAATCAAAACGCAAATGATAAAATTGGGATCCAATACTTCCCACATTCATACAAAGCAAGTCTCATCGAAGTCACGCTCTACATCGAGCATCTGACCTTTCTAATACAATGTAGATCTCGCCAGCCAATATAAGGTAACAAAACATTATCAACTGTCCCAAACTCTCTACTACTACCTATCCAAAACCCTTAAAGAAGAAAATTCATCTTTAGTGATACAGTTTAGGGACGGCAGAAAATTCAACACACAAGGAGACCGAAAAAAAGATGATCTTCCAATTTACTCGAATGCGTCATCATCATCATCTGGGAGGGGCTGTGCAGCTGCAACAGCAAGCTCTTGCTCATGCCTATAAAGAACACAGATATGACAATATGTTAATAGTCTTTAAAAAGCTAATCTAACAGCCACAACAATCTCGACATTCACTAATTGAAGAATATCATGCACAAATTCGCAAACAAGCCCAACAAATTCATGGAACTGATCAATACCTCTGCTGTTCGGCCAAGTCAATCTCCACCTCTGGAGGAGCCAAAGCTACTGCCTCAACGAAATGCAAGTTGGCATCCCTGCATCAAAAACATTTTCAATAACAACTCCATAGTTTACTTTGCATGCCTATTGTTCACTTAAATTCCTACACGTAAACACGTACCCAGCAAGCTTCCTGGCAAGGTAGAGGAAGGGCTTCTCGAAGTTGTAATTGCTCTTGGCTGAAATCTCGTAGTACTGCAAGTTCTTCTTCCTGTGGAAGGTAACCTGCTTAGCCTTCACTTGCCTGTTCTTAACATCAACCTTGTTTCCACACAGCACAATTGGGATGTTCTCACACACCCTGATGAGAAGCAAACAATTAGAAATTAGATACATGATCACATGCGAAGATTAGACACTCAGCACAAAACAACCAAATTAACGGAAATTAATGTAAATCACCTGCAAAGGTCCCGATGCCAGGTTGGAACGTTCTTGTATGTCAATCGAGCAGTCACATCAAACATGATAATGGCACATTGACCATGAATGCTGTAAAACAAAAACAATGATTATTACAAACCTATGAGAACAAATATTCAAAATATACCAAATTGAAAATAGTTGCATAAAAAATTGAGCATTAACATTCTACAAACAAGACAGCATTCCTAATGACCAATCCAACAACAGTTGGAACTAATCACCATTCTCAATGACACAAAGAAAGCACAAAAACATTTAGGTATACACTTTTGATTATAAACCTAGCAAATAATGTAAAATTCAATCAAAATTTGATCAAGCTTATCATTACCACGCAAAGTAAACAACATTCAAGCTAATGGTTATCAAACAAACATACAATCAGTATTCACACATATAACTCGAACATGAAGCCAACAGTGAACACTAATAGAAGAGTTCACATTACATATTACACTTCCTTAATCCTATTTCTATCATTTACATCAAATTTACAATCTTCGGACTACAATTTGAATACATTGCAACGAAAACATGAGATAGAATTGAAACACAAATAATTGATCATTTCAAAGGCAATTATTAGTATCCATCACAATTTGAAGACGAATTCATCGAAATCACGAGACATCATACAAATTGAAACACATATAATTGAACAATTCAAAAGTAATCATAAAGATGACTCACTAGTATCCATCTCTGAGACCACCAAACTTCTCTTGGCCAGCGGTATCCCAGCAGTAAAATCTGATTTTCCCACAGTTAGTGTGGAAATCCAATGGATGAACTTCGACACCAATAGTAGCTGTACAATCAAAATACCCTCACTCATCAAATTATTCACCTCTCTAATCAAATAATCAGCAATAATAATCAACAATTAACAAAACTTACGTTCATATTTCTTCTCAAATTCACCAGAAAGATGCCTTTTAACAAATGTAGTCTTTCCTGCACATCCAATCACATCCCAAATCAACAAATTTTCCAAATTTCGTTTTCACACTCGCAACAAATAAAAAAAATCAACCCAAAAAAACCCAATTCGAAAATTTAACCCGGACAAATTACCCACATAGATCTAACCCAAATCACACCCAAAAAATTCAAAAACAAGATCACAAAATCATCAATTTCTGCATAAATCAATCCTAAATTCCCAGAAATTTGTTAAAATCTAAAATAAAATTACCTGTACCACCGTCACCAACGAGAACAAGCTTGAAGCTTGGGTAATCAACAGTTTGCTGATTCGGCAAAGCCTAAACCCAGAAAATCAAAAATCAAAATCAGAAATTAAGAAGAAAAATCCAGCCAATTACATCAAATTTAAACAACATTAAATCAAAAACCATTTAATCAAATAAAAAATTCAAAAAGATCAAAAAGAAAAACTGACCATTATTACGAATTTGAGCTGGAAAAACAGAAGAGAGAGAAAAATAGAGAGAGAAGGAGAAATTGGGGGATGGAAGACTACTAGGGTTAGAGAAGGGGGTTATATATGAAGGGTTTATGGAATTGTAAAAATAGAATTTGAATTTTTGAAGAGGAAAAGAAGGGGGTGGCGTTTGCCCAACGCGAGATTCTGCACCGTTGGATTTAGGGGAATTTTGTTCCGTTTAGATCTTTCTTTTTTTTTTCTTTTTAATTATTTTTGAATCAGTGTGACACGTGTGTGTGATACGTGAGAGTTGGTTGTTGTTCTAGAATTCTCCAGAATAACATGCAGGTTGGCTGGATTTGGTCATCATATGAAATAAGTTTGATCCAGCCCACAAATTTAATATGGACATTAGAAAAGTTAATTATGGGGCTTATTTGAGAAAATTAGTGAAAATTAGATAGATTGGGTTGCTTGTGTTAGTTGTGTTGAGTTGGGCTTGATACAACATAAGTCCGTTTGCGAGCTTGGCAGGGCATGAGAGGCATGCTTGTGACTTTGTGAGTAGACATGTCAATTCGAGTCAACAGGTCGGGTTCGGGTTAAACTTTGAGTTGTTTGGGTCGTTTGGTTAAAGTGATTTGAATTGTTTGGATGACTACAGTTATGATAAAGAGGTAAGTTGTTTTCCTACAAAAGAAAATAGGCCAAATCGGATCAATTTTTTGGGTCATTTGGGTCAGATTGAGGTTCTCTCTTAGTAATTTGATTTGAAATCAGTTCAGGTTGGGTCGGGTTAGGAATTGACGTCTACTTTGTGAGCCATGAATTCTAATTTTTGAAAATTTGTAATAATGTCTATGCGATTGCAAGTCGCTGAAAATTCTAATATACTTTTATAATTTCAGTTGCATATTTGATGAGTAAAATAACAACTCTTGGATGTACTATGCATTTGGGTGTATATAAAAATTCCTCCAAGTCGTTACCTACTTATTTACTTCGTGCAGAGCATATTGTAATTGTTTTATTATTTTGCTCTAATTACAAATATTTCACCGTATTGACTTTTACATTATTCACATGTTCATCTTTGACTAAGTAGATTAAATATCTATTTGATTGTTGATATGTTTTAATTGTGTTTTCTCTATATCAAAAGTTTTTGTTAATTGTTCAAGTTTTCTTTGTTGATCATCATATATATGTATCGATGAAGATGTTAGTTTTGTGTGTTAATTTTCAACTAACGAAGTATGTATCAATAAAACAAAACTGTCTTCAAACATTGTGATTTGGATGCATAAAACATTCCATGCTTTTGAGTGCATACAATATTTTGCGAGAAGATTTAGCTTATAAAAGTACAAGATGTGAATTGTTGTCGAAATAAAATGAGCTGAATCAAAATTGATAAATGCAAAGACAGTTAAACAGCATATACACAACTAGCTCGTACAATCGAAATTATACATCAATGAACCCTTCAAAATTGTTACTTGTATAAAACTAGCTCTATCACACCATTATTTGGTTCAATAATGCATAAACTATACTAATATTAACTTATTAAGTAATTATCATTCTCAAAGTTCTAACAAAGTGTTTGCGTGAAAAAAAGAAAGTAAAACTTAATTAAAAACATCACTAGAAATGTGAGACCAATCAATATATTATGAACTTATGGATCAAAATGTTTAGATAATATCAAGCTAAATACATATGCTTTTCATTAATAATTAAAATTGGCATAACAAGATCCAAATAAACATACAAGAAAACCCCAAATTTCATGACCAACATACAATTATTTTACATTAGTATACTTAGATATCTCCTTATTTCGAAAATACTTCCCTAAATATAAAACTTAAAACATGCATAAGATAGAATTATCTCTGCTAAATGCTTCTCCGCAACACAAAAATACATTGCTTTGCATTATACATATAATTACCTCCGCATATAAGAGAAAAAACCTAAGTTTTACCACTCTTTTTTCCAATCAAATTAACAATTCTTCATATTTTCTTTAGTAGTAGTAATTAAAATCTTGATTTTCATACACCCTTTTGTTAACTCTTCAACCTTCATGGCCTACCGCGAATGCTAAGGAGTCGAACATCATCAATCACAGGGCCGCAAAGTGAAGAGAAGTCGTCACTCCTCATCGAGTAGAAGGTACTATAGAACATGATTCGAGTCCTAGCTTGGGTAGCAACAAAGCGAAGCACGGCTCGTTTAAACCCTCCCTTCCCCTTAGACTGGTAGGGTACTTTGATAGTGTCTTTGCCTGCAAAGGCCTCGACGACCATGGGGCCGGCACAAGCATCATTGGCATCACCAACGGAGAAACTTAGAGTGTAACGTTTACCGGGGATGGTACGTACAACTTGTGCAATTGCACTTTCTTTCCCTGCGACGAGCTCTATTGCTCGTCGGCCTGAGGGCACAAAGAAGTGATTCGAGTCTACGTACTTGACCGCCTTCAAGGACTCGACCATCCAACCAGGGAGTGGTGAATGTGCATCTTCGATGTTTGGTGGGATTAGGGTTCCCCATGTTGTGTTGCGGAAGATGTATGGACCTTCTTCAAAGTTACCATTCTTCATTAGGTTCACTGCATTTGTTATAGATAAAGTTAGAATTTTTTTTTTAAAAAAAAGCCAACATGGCTAAAATAAATCACAACAATGAGGGATAGCTTAAGTGGTTAGAGTTTTCTTTTCAGCTACTAAATATATTGGGATTGATTCTTACTCCCGTCCTTCGCTACTTCGGTATGTTTTTTGGTGTTCCACTCGGTTCACCATTTGAGCTAATCTGGATTTGGGGATCAGCCTTGGGTGATTAGGCTCCAATCTCTTCCCAATTGTTGTTGTGAAGGATCAAACACAGGTTCTCCCAACCAAGTGTAGTCTCAATGACCACTACACTTATTGTGCATCCGCATACATAGAAAAAGAACTAATCATGGACCAGGACGAGTCTAAAATAAACTCGCTTTGGTCCATCACATTAGGCTTTACTTAAAAAAAATTCGCGCTAAAGCAAAGTATACGGGCATGGTATTCAATCACGTAATTAGTCCATTTTACTAGATTATGACATGACATATTATACGGAGTACAAACTAAATAAGGAAACATATACGGAGTTGTCAATTAAGCGAAAGATGTGATAGAAAATTGTAATTTAGCATCGACAAATCTACTCTTAACTTTGTAATTTTTCATAATGATGTAGACATTTTACACAATATATGTAACAACCAACATAGCTAAATGGAGGGTCATGTGGTGTATTGATTACTCAATGACAAATTTAAAATCATGACATGTTACAAAATATAAATGTCCCAATCACCATGTGTGTGAACATTGAAATTTATGAAGGATAATGAAGCTCATTAATATAGCGGCTTTTTCATAATTTATATATGCCCACAAATTAGTTAGGTATGTACAATACTAGGCACAACCATGTGGTATATCAACATAGGTGTCTATTCTAATCGAAGCCTCATATTAATTTCATCCGATCCCATGACAAAATATAGTGTAGGTTTTCTATAGCTTTATTCTTCAACAAGTAACGAAGTGTCTAGCCCATACATATCAGAGTAACATAGGTCATGATTGTGAGAAAATTGTATCACTAAAACAAATCATATTATGAAACTGTTGTATATGAAATCTTTCGAACAAAGCAGTAAAGGAGCAACAATGAGAAAACTTACAGTTAGTCCTCTTAGGAGGGTAAAGAACTCGCATAGCGACGGAGTCGATAAGGGGACCACAAGCAGGATCTTCCTCAACACCAGGGTTATGGATAACAAGCTCAGCAAGGTTCGAAAGTGCTACAAAACCCCAAGCATAGCAATCCCAACCACTACTACTATACAAAGTTTGCATAGGAAGTACACCAAATTCAGGGGAAACAGATATGTTGAGTTGCTCTTCTTGTGCACAAGTTCTTGCTGCACAAAATGTTATGGCATAGTTCATTCCCTTTGTTACACTCACCCTTTGCTTGATCGAGGCCTCGTTTCCGAGCCTCACGGCGTAGGCTCCCTCCGGGACTACTAGCAACATGTCCCCTTGTTTTTGGCCGGATTTTATGTACTCGACGAAACCGGAGATTTCCCAGTTTGGTATGGAATGCCTGTTCACTACCACCGTGCCCTTCATGTCCGATCGCCTAGGGCCTTTCTCAAAGTCACCATTTGGTAGTAATCCTGAAATCATATGAGAGTGACTATGTTATACCCTGTTCGTATACATACTATTTTTAGAATGTTCGGAAATAATTGTCACATATCAGAAACAAATAATTGTCGTATACATACTGTGTAGGTCTATGTTGTCAGGGGCGGAGCCATGTAGGAACAAGGGGGGACGGTTGTCCCCCCATTTTTCCAAAAAAAAATTTAATTTATGTTAGCTTAAATAAATGCTGTAAATAAGAATAAATACCTTACATGTATACCTTATATAACAAAGACAATATTTGGTCTGGTGGTTGATGGGCTTGAGTAAAGCTTGTATTTCTCTTTGATCCTAGGTTCGATTCTTTACCCGATCATTTTTTTTGTTTCTTTTTGCTATTTTTGGACTTTATTTTTATTTCATTTTATAGTTTATACAAAGTGCTCCTATTTAACTTCTTTTTCTTGTTTTTGGATTTTGCCATTTTTTTTTTACTGGTTTTTAAATTTCATTATATAGTATGTAATTTATATATACAAAGTATTATAAGTCTTCAAACCTCTAATTACTCTCATTTAACTGTTTAATCAAGTATCGCCTTGTTGATAGTGATTACTAATGTGTTATTAAACTATTTGTAATGAACACATGTCTCCGTATTTTTTTATCTCTCTAATTATGTGTGCCTAAATTCTATTTTTTTTTATAGCTTGTTTGGAACTAAGTTTCCAATTTTATTTTTAGTCAAAGAAAGTTTATTTATTTATTATTATTTTTTTTTTAAATGTAACCCAAATCCCTTTACATCTACTATCAATTTGTGTAAATGCTTATCATTTGATAAATCATATTTATCGATTATTAAGGATTACATACCTTAAAATTGGGGTTTACCAGCATAAAAAAAAAATTTGGTTAATAAATTTCTTAATATGCAATTAATTTTTTAACAACTCCTCTTTCACCATATATGAGTAATTGTCATATCTCATAAGCGATTTCAAATATATATTAAACAATTTATGTGATCAATTTCTTTTTTCTTATAATTATTGTCGATTATTAAACATCTAAAAATTGTCCCCCCGGATTACAAATCCTGGCTCCGCCACTGTATGTTGTGATGAAAAAAATAATTGCAATCCAAAAAAATTAGTGATGCATTGTATAATTATGGTTTTCAATTTTAATTAGCCACCTCATGCATGTAATTTGAGAGCATGATCTCTAATAATTTTAATTCTTCAAAGTAGTTAATTACTAAGGATAAAGAGCCTATTCTCATTGACTGAACTGGACTGAAATGAATACTCCGTATTTATAAGAGAAGAAAATTAGAAGCTGAACTGAACTGAACTAACTTATTAGAGCTGAATTGAATTGAAAATAAACGTACGAAAACATACCCTAGTTTCATTCCTTATACGTATTTCTTAAAAACACAGACATATTCTTTCCTTTAAACTTTAACTTAGTTAATTAATATATGTTGAGATTTGAGATAAATATAATAAGATCTCACCCTATAATAGTCTAAAACAACAATTATTCAAAAGTGATGTTCAATGTTTAAACTTTGAACACAAATTTCAGAGCGTATTCAGCCAAAAAGTAGAAGCTAGTAGTTTCTAGAACAGCTACTCCGTATCTAGCTAAAAAAAAAACTAGGGATATGTATGACAGTATGAGTATATATAGGATAAGTATACATATTGCATCCATAACTACTGTATTTTGCAGTTAGAATATGAAGATATATTTTTTTTATTTTAATAATTTTAATATGCTAGATTTCGGCTGTTATAAGATCAAGATATACTTTAAAGTTTGTTTTTTACTTAGAAATAATGACAAATATTTGTCGGCCTTTATGTTTTTCTGCTACAAAACTTTAATTTTTTCTTGTAATTTCTTTTTTGTCGATCTCATTATATTCTAGTCTTTGGCTTATGTACAAGATTTTTTTGGTAGGGTAATGAAATTGTATGAGCTCAATTTCAAGCATGTACGCATTATTGTTTATATAGGACATTAAAATTCAAATTTTAAATATTTCTAAATAAAATCCAAACAAATTATATACTGTAGTTAGATAAAGATACCCGTATTTCAAGAGAATACACCCCAAACTCGAGGATAAAGTCACGAAATTTAAGATACTAACTAAACTACACCTCTTCAACATTGAGTAACGGATTATATAAATAAAACAAATTAGTTATGTAGACAGATAATATATAAATTATCTGTGTATACATCAACGTCGTAAAATTTTGATTAATCTATCTTAGAATTGCCTTACTAGGGCCACCACGTGACATTTGCGACATGGCTAGTGGTATTAAATACCCAACTCTAATGATTGTCCACACTCCACATCAATGTAGTCCCATTTTGCCTTTTATGTGTGTTTCATACTAGATGTGCAAGAATAAATGAAACTTTATAGTAAAAAAAAAAAAAAATTAAAAATAACAAAAAGATAAAATTGTTTCCTCAATTTGAAATTAATAGTCATGCTATCGTAATAATAGATATGATTTGAATCAGTTTCATAGCAACAAGATTAAAATTAGTTTCGCGACAACATATATTCGAACAAGATGAGTACGTAAGATTGTAAGAGTGTTCAAGAATTGTTGCAAGGAGTACAATACTCATTAGTACAAGCTAATAAAGCATTGAAGTGTTGGAACAAATTTGGTAAAATTAAGTACTCCATAATAAAAGCACATAGTAGTAACTTTTAAATATTGAAAATGACTTGTACTTCAAATTGGTAAGGATTCACTAACACCATTATTATAACATAGCCATTATATATAGAAGGCAAGCCTTAGATATTATTAGAATCTCTGTTACATAAAGAAATAAATGACTACCTAACTAACCTTCATAACTCTGACATTAGTTTGATAACAACCTTTGGATAGTATAGGAAAATGTGACATTGAGTTATTCCCTTAATTATACTTTATCGTAATAATATAAGTTGAAGAAAACACAACCTTAAAAACTTAAAACATGTATACTCTTAATTATGTTTCCTTATAATAGCATAAGCACGCTATTAAACTTGAAGAAAACACGACCTTATAAACTAATTGTTTCCATATTAGTGTGTTGAATTATGCAACAACAAAACTCCAATGAAATTTCATAGAAGTATACAATTACAAACAACATACAATAATTTAAATGGATAAGAAAAAATGAGAGATTTTACCATCAGTAAAGGCAGAGACAAAGGGGCACGTGGCAAGAGCTAGAAGCACCGACAGGAAAATAAGATTAACCATACTGAAAATGCCACTTAATAATATCCAAATTAGGAGAGAGAAAATGAAGTGAAGGTAGTTTTAGAGAGAGAAAACAGGGGAATGAAAATGGAGAGAGAGTGGCAAAGAAGAAGTGAGAAGAGGTGTGCTTATATGCATGGATATACCCAAAGAAGCCCTTAGAAATGGTCCAAATTTACAGAAATTGCCATTATGTTTATGTCTGACGATCTTCACGTGGAATGTGGAGGCAGGGGATGTGGGGTTACCATGGTGCTTTTGGACTTACTATTTATTAAACTATTATTTTTTTATTTTTTTTTATTATTATTATTATGAGATTTTATCACTAGTGACTTGAAGGGTAAGATGATGTTCATAACATTGTCGATCAAATTATTCAAATATTTGACATTATGGTACAAATAACATAAATTCAATTGTTTTAGTTTTAAGCACAAAAAATATCCTTCACTAGGTCATATAAAAGTGTGTAATATTCGCATGATTTTTACTTATCTAAACTTATTTTAGTCATCTATTAGATTAAAAATAAGTGAAAATAAGGTGAACATAATAGATTTAAAGAGCATTATATATTCATATGCTGACATTTTTCTCAATGTTTTGACACAACTCTACATATATGGTATCCAAATTGATACTTGTATGAGTTGTATCTTGGTATAATTTAGTATTCTCATTGCGTGTTAATTTCCTCACTCAATTGTACGGAGTATACGATACTTGTCATGCATATGAGAAATGTTGGCTTAAACATTGGGATTTAGACGTCACATAGGCAATTTGTGCTTATCTCGTGACAGTTCCGCACCTGGGAAGATAATCTCTTCAATTTGCTTCCATTATTTTTCATCTCTTTGACAACTTTGGGTTTGTCTCATTTATTTTGTAGTCAATCAACATGCTAATTACAAAACTACTTGCTCATTTTATAAAACCATTAATTAAGGGCTTGTTTGGCATTGTTTTTTGTTTTAAGTTTTCAGTTTTTTTGAAAACTAAAAACAGGAAACAAGAAAAAGGTGTTTTCACTTTTCAGTTGTCAGTTTTTAAAATTATCATGATTTTAATAAGTTTGACTAATTTTTTATTCATTATATGATACAAATCATATGACTTTAAAAAACAAAAAACCCAAAAACAGAAAAGCACAGTGATACCAAACGAACCCTAAGCGACTGTAGTTGATGGATGAGACAATTTTTAAGAGAAGGAGGTGGAAATCCATGATTCTAGTTTTGCATTCATGTTGATGAAAATAGAAAATGACAATGTTATTATGTTTGGTATAATATTAAGCATGTTGAGGTGCTTTGAAGTGTCACATTGATATAATATGTATATTAAAAACAGATTAATATTAAAGCATTGATTAATGTTGTTGTTTTCTACTGAAGTTTATGAAATTGGAGATATTGTCTACTTCGAATATCATTTAATTAAAGACTTTTGATAAATAGCCTTGTTTTTGGGCAATATATGGGCATCTTTTATTCTTTCGTATGTTACGAGTACTCCGTATGTAAAGAAACAGATGTTCCCAAAGCTCACATGCTTTCTTGCATCATAACATCAACCTTCTTTTTTGTTTTTTGAAAGTTTATGCAAAAGGCTAAGCTTTACATACAATTCTTGGGTTATGGTTAGGGATAGTGTGCTTTTCTAAGGAGGGCTTTCTTGTCTTTTTGCATTATTTAAAATAAGCCCTATAGTACAAGTATATGGTTTGAGGTTGCGGTTTTTATTCGAGTATATCTATGCGTATTGGACCTATGTATTTGACATGTATATGGGAAGATAATCTGGGGTACGGCAATACATGTTCTCTCTTGTTTTAGTATAGTGGTACATTTTTGTAAACTACTATACATGTATAATGTACTATTAAAATATAGTTGTTTGAATAGTACTTTTTATGTACTATATTATGTATGTAGTGATTATTTTTGTCATCATATTTTCCAGCCTTAGGTTCCTATTATTTACAAAAATGTCATCCTATTTGCATCCTTAATACATAGAGACTATGCGCCAAGAGTTTTTTGATTTATTCATTTGATTTTCGATTGAATTAATCCAAACTTATTTCTACTTATAAAAATTTGTTTGAGCTTATAATATTATTAAAATTCAATAACTCTTATTATAACTTATTAGGCATTTACGTTTATTCTCAGCAACGCCAAAGTATTTATAGCGGAAGCTACGACTATTTACAAAGGAATCCAACTAGCTCTTCAATGTGGCATTCAGAACATTGATATTGAAAGTGATAACCTATTCAAATCAGGGCATGTTCACAATTACTTGATTTCAGTTCAGTTTAGCTCCAATCAGTTCAGTTCAGCTCTTAATTTCCCTCTCTCATAAAATATTCATTTTAGCTCAGTTCAATTCCGTTCAGTTCAGTTCAGTAAATGTGAACATGCCCTCGATAAAAAGGCATTTGGGTATTACGTTGGCAGATCGCGCATATTATCGAAGACATTCTCTCCTTAGTTTTGCAATTGGAGGATATCCAGCACGTCTACCGATAGTCAAATTGTGCAGCAGATTGGATAATGTGGGTCGTTTAGTACGTAATGGTATGGATATTGATGTTTGTAATAACTCTAGTTTGCAGCAGATAATAAACTCTAGTTTGTAACAATGGTCCGTTCTGATTTACTGAACTGAACTAAAGTGAAATGAATTAAACTAAATTGAATATTTTATGAGAGAAGAAAATTAGAAACTGCAATGCACAGAAAATAAGTTGAAGAAAATAGACCCTATCCTTAATAATATCATAGAAATTCCCATCGTTAGGAGTGTTTTCTAATGTTTATTTTTCTTAAAAAATAAAATTGCAAAGTGTAAGTCCAATATGTGAGTCGATGTCATTGACTAAAACTTGATCATATAGGATTAGTCACTAATCAAATCCACTTTAGTAGATTTTATGAATCTATAATAATGTAGAAAATTTAATTGGGTTGTCGCTACTTAAATTGTCAATTACTGTCTCGTCCTTGTCACAACACTTTTTACACTTTATACAGTGTCACTGTGTCAGTAATTCTTTTGCTTGTTTAAATTACTGTTATGCTATTAATTTATAACGTTACATAAAGCTCACAATTACAGTACTAGTTTGAATTTTTTTAATGCATTTACTACTTGGCATAAGTAAAATAGAATTTAAAAAGAGTAAATTTAAAAACATAGCAGAAATAGGAATCGCAGGAGGAGATTGGTCCATTGCAAAATAAAAGACAGTCGTACGAATCAATACATTTGAAGGAGTACCTTAAAGTAAAATAAAAACTTGTATTTTTGGTTTTGCATCGACTGCCAAACAATTATAAAAATCTCTCAAAAGCAAAATTTATGTTAAGATGTGCATAGCACATGTTAAACACATATAATACACATGTGACATGATGTTCATTTCTTGTATCTAAATGTACAATATAATCGTGTTCTTGCTTCTTAATTTGTGTGATTTATTTTTTGTTAAATGCATCTCAAGATATTAATTATCAAGATAAATTCAATTTATAATACTTCCTCCGTCTCCGATTGATAGTCACTTTTGAAGAAAAAGCACGGGAATTGAGGAGATAAACATACTTTCCTATTTTAATTAAATATCTTACATAGGAATTGAATAGATTAGCTTTTTGCTACGAGTAATTTTTTATAGGCAAATGGAGTACTTTGGCAAATGTTTTTTTTGACAAATGTTATTACTACTCGTACTATTTATCAAACTTGTGAGACTACATGTGTGTAATAGTAAATTATGAAATAGAAATGGACAAATAGAAGTGACAAAAGCTATTACTATGAGTTGAATTTTTTATTTTTTATTTTTAAAAATAACTCCTCTAGTAATCTTAAATTCTTAATGAGAGGGGGAACATCGAACGTGTCATGAAGATTTGTGGGCCAAAGAAATAGACCGACAGAAAATAATATATGGAGTGATACTGAGAATTGAGTCCATTTTTTTAATTTTTGGTTGGGCTTTCATTAATAAGAAATTATACAAATGAAGTCCTTTAGAAATTTGTAAACTTGTGTATGATACTAATTTAGGGTATGTATGATAAATGAGTAAAATCTGAGGGGGTGGGCCAATTTTAAACTACAGCCTCATCCATTTCTAAGGAAGTGCATGTGGAATTGTGGATTCATGCTCTCATCTTAAGGCCGTATATGAGTATATCATGGCTCTCTTTGTTTCTTTCTCGGAACCTCTATTAAGCATACGGGTACATAAAGAGTTATGTGTATCTAAGAGTAATATTTTTACGAAATATGTAAGATAGATTAATTGACTACGGATCATCTTTATTATAAGTACACTAATGTAGTAATGTATATGTAAGATTTTTTATTATTTCTTCTTCACACTATGTTTTGAAATACTAATGTATTCCGTATAATATGAGTCAATTACTATGAAAAGTTCATAAGTAACTTAACCTTCAAGTCCATTTCAAATTGTATTTTGCAAATCTGAATCAATTTGAAATCAAACGAAATGACTAATTACGATAATATATAAGTAAGTTGAAATGAACATAACTCAAAATTCCAAAAAACCCACTTATTACCTTAAATAATTAAAATCAAGTGAATATAACGCATCATCAACATTAAATAATCTAAGTTTTGCACACATAATGGATTTGGAAAGGTAGTTGAAATAGATGACATAGGATTATTATAGGATAAAGAAGCAACCACATGCTAAGTTTGCACTTAGCAAATAGACATTGGGCCGAAAGATTATGCACAAAATACTGAGAGTCGGCTTTTCGCTAATCAAGCCAAATTAATCATGACGTCAATTATTAATTGTCTTTAAGTTGGGCCTTCTGGTTTTCAATCCACATTGCATTACAAAAATTAGTGGGTCCAATTATATTTAACCTAGGTGTTGTACCTATGATGGCCATACACGTGTTAAAATTATCTATTACTTTTCACTTTTTTTCTATTAAAAAACTTTAGGGAGGTTTTTTTTTTATTTTTATTTTTTATATACAAAAATAATACTAGTAGTAATTTAAATGGCTTTTGTTTTATCTTCCTACATCATTTTTGGGTATGGCCTTGGGTCGAATAAAGAT